CCTCCTCCTCCTCCTCCTCGAGCTGGGGGGAGGCTCTGCGCCCCCCTCCCCCCCCCTCCCGAGGCTCCGGCTCCAGGCCGACGCGTCGCAGGCCCAGGCCTCGCGGCTCGAGGCCCTCCTGCGGGCTGGATGGGCTGGGTCCCGCGGATGCCTGCGCCCCTCTCCTCCCCCGCCTCTCGTCGATGGTACGGATGGGTACTCCAAATGTCGTAATAAAAGGGAGGGGATCTGGACCCTCCAAGACAAGCCATTTCAGACCCCCCCCCCGTGGGAGAACCCTCCAAAACATCGTCCCCAGACCCCCCCAGGCTCTCCAAGATAGCCTGGAAGAGACCCCCCACCGAAATGAGACCCCCTCTCTTTTATTACGAAATCTGGAGTAACCTCTTCGCCCCATCCTTGGTCCACTTTCGACGGCGGTCAGCCCCGCTGGAGTGTCAGCATGGCCGTCCAAGGGGCTCGCATCCTCATCGCGCATCCTTAGTGAGTATCAGTTTTGATAGTGCTCCTCCTGCTCCTCCCGCTTCCTCCATTCCAGCTCCTGCTCCTGCTGTTCGTCCTCGCCCTCCTCCTTCCACGTCCTCCGTCCTTGCCCTCCTGGCCATCCTCCTGCTCACCCGCCACCTCCTTTTCCTATGTGCGCGGCACTCATGCTCCGACTGCGCATGAGAAGATGAGATCTTTTGTTGGCGCTCCAGGTCGGCGGTGACACGCGTCCGCGTACAGAGGACAACTCAGCACACTGGGAACGGATGGGAGGGATGTAGGGATATCAGATGTGGCGCCAGCGCACCCAGCCTGCCTCTTGCTCTCTTCTTCTTCGTCTCGATGGAGACGTGCTCGCGCTGTGAACAACATTACGGCGGAAGATTTTTGGCCGTCTGCGGTCTCTGGGGGCCCTCGCGGGGCCGCGGGACCGTCAAAAGACGGCCCTGGATGGAAAACCGGCCTCGGAGAAAGGGTCAGGATCCTTGGTGCCCTCGATGGAGAAAGTGTGCGTAAACACACATTTTCGGAGCGTCTCGCAGATCTCTCGAATCTGCGCTGGCCCTCAATGGCGGCGCCAAGTGGGATCGCGCGAGTGGAACACCCTCCTCGGACCACGAGGTGAGCGTTTTTTTTTCCAGTTTTTTCCTCTGGCGGGTAACGCTTGCTACCCGGCCCCCCCCCCGGGTAACGCTAACGATCGTACGTTTTTTGGGGGTGGAGGGCGGATCCCCCTCCTCTCAGCAGGTATGGAGCTGTGATCACTGGCATGGCGTGGTGCTGAAAAGGCATATTCGGAGCTCACAAATGTGTTGTGGCGTTCGCAGGTTCCCCACCTGCTGCGGCGCCGAATTCACCGGCATGGCGTGGTGCTGAAAGGCATGTTTCGGTGCTCGCGTGCCTAGTGTGGCGCCTGCAGGCTACTGCCGTGCGCGGACTAGTGTGGTTTACGTATACATCCCTAGGTTCTCTTCTCCTGCTCTTCCTATTGGTGGAACCCTGGAAGCAATGCTGCCAGGGGTTTTCGCAGCCATGTGTGGGTGGAGCAACGGTTATCCCGCGCCTGTCACAATTTAGGCCGACAAAGGCGAGGCGACGTCGAACGACGCAATGAGTACAGTTGTTGTATGGCAAATCAGAATCCTACCTCCTCCCGCTTGCTCCACCGCCTACTGATGCTCCCCCTTTTTCGTCGTCCTCTGCCCCTCCTCGTCCTTCCTCTTCCCCTCTGGACTGCGCTGTGCGTTGTTGGGATGATATAAGTGGCCGCTTGGGCCATATGGGGTTATCTGCACACCGCCCTTGCCTATCCGCCTTGTCCTCCCCCTCGCTCCTCCTCGTCCTCCTCGTAGGTTTCGCTTCTACTTGCAGGCCGGATTTCGTGACATTTTCGTTGCGTGCTGGCGCGCCCAGGTACGATGTGGCTGTTCGCTCTTCTCTGATATTGTGCCAGTCAAAAAAAAACACACGACCTTCCAACTTCCCCCACTATCTCCCGCATCCCTCCTTCCCCGCCTCGCTCTCGAATTTCCCCTTCCTCCCATATTTTTGCATCTTTTCTTGGCCGTCTCGTTCGAGGCAAACCGCGGATGGTCTTGCCATTACTGCACAGTGTGCCAGCCTAGCAGCTCGCGTGCCATCGATACTACTCTCCAGAGCGACGCCCAGATGTTCCACCAGACGATTGGGGTCCTCGCATCCTCCCGCGTCCTCGCATTTCTTCCAACCTTTCCCCCACGTCCTCCCGAACCCGTTGTCGTCGTTCTCGTCGTTGTCGTCGTCGGTCCGCTTCGGGTTCAGGGACCCGCAGCAACGAGCCCACTGCGCCGAATATGGGGCCGAGGGCTTCCAGGGCTTTCCAGGCGTGGATATCGTTCAAGCTCGAACGACCCACGCGGTGTCAAAAACCAAAGCCGAGGTCATCGCGACACGAACTTACCGTACCCAGCACAATACTTCATCCTACCCCCCCCGCCTACTCTCACCTCCCCCGTCCCCCCGCCCCCATTCCCCCCTTCCCTCCCCCGTCCGATGGCGCCCACGCACCTTGGGTGGCACACTCCGCGGCCGCCGTTGCTGTTGGCTGCCGGCCACCCCTCCCAGATGACAGCCGCTACCCGGAATAATAAGAGAACCGCATCGAGGGAAAATCGTTTTTCCCCGAAAACAAAACCCCCTTGGCGGTGCCTCCGGCGCCGCTCTTCGCGCGTTCCGCGCGCCAGGGACGGGGGACCAGCGCCGATCTAAGAAAGTTGCGCGGGACGTCGACAGTTTATGTGTATGTAGTGGTTTATTAGTCTATTGTCCGTCGTTTTTTGATCCTCCTCCTGGGCCTCTCCTCATTCCTCCTCCCCCTGCACTGCCCCGCACCCTCTTGTTGCCGGTGACCCAGCTGATTCAGTCAAACTCACCTTGTTCCGTGGTAGAGCGAGAACAGCTCGGGGCTCCCGTCGTGGGGGCCATTTTCCATTCGAGGTCTTCCGGGCGCGCACGATAGGTCGCACACGTCCGAGGTTTCACTGTTTCAGTTTGAGATGTGTTCTGTTCAGGGCTATTGGGGGCCTCTTGGGGCATGTCGGAAGTTTTGGGGGCCGTTTTGTAGGCGAGGGTTCCCGGGCCCCTTCGAGTTGCCCATTTTGGGACTACCTTGGGGCCCGCTGGAATGTCTTTTGGGGCCGTCTTGGGGGCCTCTTGGGCATTCTTGGTGCCCCGTTTGGGTCATCTCCAGGCCCTCCTGTGGGCCTCTTCGGTCATGTCGGGCCAGACTGTGGGGCTTTCGGATTGTCCAGGGCTTTCAGAACCCCGAATTGGCGATATTGCGAAACTCATTCAAAAGCATATGGATAATTCATGTTCGCCAGCGGGCCCCCCAAGCAGTACGTTATCGCACTGTGGATTTGCAAGCTACGTGGTGCAAGTTATGTGATGTAAATCATGTGGTGCAAGCTATGCGGTTTAAGCTATGCGGTGCAGGCTGTGTGGTCTCAGCTATGTGGTGCAAGCTATTTGGTGCAATACACGTGTTGCAAGCTGTGTGGTGCGGGCTATGTGGTGCAGGCTATGTGGTGTAATTTACGTGATGCAAGCCACTTGGTGCAATATATCGAAGACGCCTACGGCGAACCACCGCCGCCCCCTGCCCGTTTGGAAGCGCCTATGTGGCCGAACGTTGAGGCCAGACCTGCCAAGCCATCGGACCATGTGTTCCCGGAATCGGTTTGGAAAGCCTTCGGGGAACACGTGGGCATCTTGCAGGTCATCTTGGCCGTCTTGGAGGCCTCTTGGGCGATCTTTAGGCGATCTTTGGGGGCTCTTGGGCCGTCTCGGGCCGTCGGAAGGCCGAAAAGAAGGAAATGGCAAAATCCGTCAAAAACCTAAGGAACATCAATGTTTTGGGCCTCTTCTGGCCTTCCTGGAGGCCCTCTTGGGGGCCTCTTGGGCCGTCTTGGGCCAGCTTTGAGCCAACTTCGGCCATCTTGGTGGGTTCCTGGCACGTCTGACGCCGTCGGGAGCCATCTTGGGGGCCCTTCTGGGCCAACGTGGGGCCCTCTTGGGGCGCTTCGGGGCCGTCTTGGAGGCCATCTTGGGCGTCTTGGAGGCCATCTTGGGCGTGTTGGAGGCCATCTTGGGCGTGTTGGAGGCCTCTTGGGCCGTCTTGGGGCCCTCTTGGGGCCGTCTTGGAGGCCACTTGGGCCGTCATGGGGCCCAAGTGGGGGCCTCTTGGGTGATCTTGGGGGCCTCTTGGGCCGTCTTGAGCCGTCGGAATGCAGAGAAGAAGCAAATCCCCAAATCCTTCGAAAACAATGATTTTAGTCTATTCGGGCCCTCCTGTAGGACCTCTAGGCGGCCTCTTGGGCCATGTGGGAGGCCTCTGGGGGGCCTCTTGGGCCGTCTTGGACTCTCTTGGGCCGTCTTGGAGGCCGTCTTGGACCATCTTGGGCGGACTTGGAGGCCATCTTGGGCCATCTTCGCGATTTGTTGAGGATGTCCCGAGCGAAACGGCCGTTTCAGGGAGGATTGTGTCCGGAGTTTGTGCACGTGGAAGGGCCTCCCGGGACCCTGGCGCGACGGGCCGAAGCGCCAGGGGGAGTTCTTTTGGAAAAAGAACCAAAACCAAAACCGAAAGGGTCAAGCACGCCAGGCACCCCTGCGATGAATCGACAGGGGGCGGCTGATCGAATGGCCTTCGGCCCATCCCGCCACCGTGCCTGGGCTGTGGGCATGAAACTTATTGGATGTTCGTTGGGATCTCGTGGCAGGCCTTTCGGGGGCCTCTTGGAGGCAGTTTGGAGGCCTCTTAAGGGCCGTTTGGGGGCCTCTTGGGGCCTCTTGTGGGCCTCTTGGGGGCCTCTTGGGGGCCTCTTGGGGGCTTCTTGGGGGCCTTGGAGCCTCTTGGGCGCCTCTTGGGGCTGGGGGCCTCTTGGGGCGGAAGGCTCGGATTTTCGGTTCGCGTTCCCTCTCCTCTCTTGGGCGCCTTTGGGGGCCGTCTTGGGGCGGGCCGTCTTCGGAGCCTCTTGGGCCGTGTTGGGGCGCTCTTAGGCCTTCTTGCGGCCCTTTTGGAGGCCGCTTGGGTCGTTTTGAGGTTGTCTTGGGAGCTCTTGGGCGGTCTTCGAGCTTCGGAAAGCCGAAAAGGCGAGAACGCCCCAATCTTCCAAACACCTGATGAACAGTCAATGCTTTGTGCCTCTTGAGGCCCTCTTGGGAGGCCTCTTGAAGGCCTGCTGGGGCGTTTTGGAGGCCTCTTGGACCATCTTGAGGCCATCTTGGGCATCTTGAGCTTATCTTTGGTCGTGTCGGAGCCCTCCTGGACCGTTCTGGGGGCCCCATGGGGCCCTGTTGGCGAGATTTTGGACTCTGGGCTCCAGGCCCCTTGCAGACTCCTCCAGGGAAGGTTGAGGCGTCGAGGATTAGGCAAAGGTCCTGATGACACGCCCACTCCGTGCCCAGTGGCGCGGTGGCGGATATGGTGCAAGCTACAGTCGGGGCCCTGAAGAAGGAACCCTTTTTGTTGGGGAGGGGCTCCGCGTTCCTTAAGTGTTTCGCAGCTTGCCTCAGGTGTTCCTTCTGTTTTCGATCGGAAATCGAAGTTTAACTTATGGAAAAGAGGGGCCTCGTTCCTTATGTAGGGTTCCTTAGGTCAACGCCCCGACTGTATGTGGTGTGCGCTATGTGGTGCGGCGACGTACGGGCACGGGGCTGCCAGGCCGGTAGACGGGCCCGGTTCCTTTGAGAAAGGAAGTAAGAGCCCCTCAGTGCAAGCATTTTTTGAAAATGCTTTTGGCCTCGTGAAGCCATCCTGTGCGTCCTCTTGAGGCCCTCCTCGAGAGCGTCGTCGGAGCCTTGCGGCCGTCTTGAGGCCATTTTTGATGGAGCCCTTCGTATAGGCGTGCTGGAGCCCTCCAGCACGCCAGAGAGCCCTCCGTCTGGAGGCCCCTCTGGCGTGCTGGAGCCCTTCGTGTAGGATGGCATCTCCGGCATCCTGGAGGCGGCGGATGGTGGATCTGCAGGTTCCGAGGGCCTGGGAGGAGGGCCGACGAATTCCTCCGCCCCTCCAACAGGACTTTGGACCCCAAGGGCAGTGGGAACGAGAGATGGAGAGCCGAACGTGTCACACGCCTTCTCAACCCGGCAAGCTGGGGTCGGCGTATGAGTGCGACGCCTCCGCCTCCTCACCCAAGAAACAGGGAGAGAGAGAGAGAGAAGGGTGCTTGTATGTGTATACATGTACATCTTATTTTAGCGAGATCTTCATCACTTCAGGTCCACACGTGTATGTGTACCATCCATTGCTGTAATATCTGTTTACACAGATTTATAGACACATTCATACATGCATGTCAAGAGAGGGAGACAGAGAGATACAGACATATGTATATATATATAGAGATAGAGAGAGAGAGACAGGTATAGAGAGAGAGAGAGAGAAAGGGATGACACCGTGCAGAGGAGGGGTCAGACACATAAGTTAGAGGTGGCATCAGGACGAGAAGCGATCCAGGGGCTCGAGGGGAGGGGATGGATAGGAGGAGGAGGAGATGGAGAGCCAGTGTAAACCTAAAACGCATCAACGAGTTTGCAATAAATCCTCCCTCAACAAACCTCTTCATTGGTCCCCACTAGAATGTATATTCACTGCTGGAAGTGCCCCGTTGGAAGACAACCGTTTTAGAATCTTTAATCCTGGCAAAACGCCACTCCTTGGACTACAAGGCCGCGAAACAGCTTTTCTGTTGCGCCCTGACGATGCTGCAACGTGCCTGAAACACCCTTCGTTGAACTTCAGCATCGCGAATCCACGTGACGGTTGCGCCCTGACAGTCCTATTCCGTGCCAGAACACCGTTCGTGGGACGCCGTCCATAGGAATATTTGCAACGGCTGACGTGCCTTTTTGTACGAATGCGCGCGGCGGCGGTGAGGCCAGAGCCACATCGTTAAATCGAGTCGCCCCCATCTGCGAAGCTCTTGCGAACTTTGACAGACGAATGTGCGCGGCGCTGAGGCGGGAGCCACATCTTGAAAACCATCCAGCCTGTGGCAAATTGTTAAGATTCCAGATCACACTTGGTGAGGAAGTAGCCAGAGAATCGCCCAGGGAGGGACAGGGATGCGACAGGGAGTAGTCATTTTTAACGGAATGCGACAGGGAGCAGTCATTTGTAACGGAAAATGGGAGGAGGAGGAGGAGGAGGAGAAGGAGGAGGAGGAGGAGAAGGAGGAGGAGGTGGATGGGGGAGAAGGAAAAGGAGCAGATGGAGGAGATGGACGCAGCGCCCCTCCGCTGGTCGGAGCCTGGCGAAGGCGCAGGCGGGGCAGGAGGAGGCACAGGAGCAGAGGAGCAGAGGCCAGGAGGGGACGCCGATGCCGGGCGGCCGCGGGCGCGAGGCCCTAGAACATGCCGCGGCCGCGCGGGCGAGGCCGAGGGGTGACGAGCCGCCGCAGGGGCCGGAGGAGAGGGTGGCCTGCCAGGACCTCTTTGCGCTCCCTCCCTCCCCTCCCTTCCTCCCTCCCTCTCCGCACTCCCTCCCTCCCCCCCCTAGCTCCCCTCCCCTCCCCTCCCCCCCCCCTCCCCTCCCTTCCCTCCCTTCGAAGACGAGACGTCTGCACAAGCATAGACTTGGATCTTGGCTCTGCGCTGGGCCCTTCTGGCGGCGCCTCCGTCGCCGTCCCTGGCGCGCGTCGGCGCCGCCCCGGGCTTCCTCCTCACCCGGTCCGTCCGTCATCGGCCATGCATCGGCTCAGGCTGCCGAGGGCTGGCGATCACCCGCCCGCGTGCCGCCCTTGTCGCGAGGGTGGTGCGGAAGCAGAGGGAGGCTGAGGAGGAGTGGGGCGGGAAACGACGAGAGCAGAGTCGCTGCGTCTCGGCCGACCGCTGGAGATGCAAGACATGCAACGCCGTGATTTTGTTTCAACGCGCGGTCCCTCGGAGTCACGACCCATTCCCTGCGCCGGTGTTTCGTCCCGGGTCGCTGTTTGACGGTCCCCAGGGCCCGGCGGGGGCCCTTGGAGGCTGAAAAAGAACGAAGGGTCTCCCGTCCTGATTTCGACACGAAGCGAGCATGTCATGCCCCCCCCCCCACGCCGCCGCTCCCGCCGCCCCTCGCGCCCACGCGGCGCCGACGCGGCCCCCACAGCACGCCCCTGGCTTCTCGATGCCTGCCCTTCCGCGAGCCGAGTGCGGGACCTCCTGGCCCTCTCGCGGAGCGCCCACGCGCACCCCCAGGCGGTCCCGTGGGAACCCGCGGCTCGTCGGACACTTCGTCCAGAGGAGGCAGCCGGTGCCCACACCGCTACCCCTGCCCCGTTTCCCCCCTTTGTGGGCGTCCTGGGAGGCCCTCGTCGCCACCGCTGGATTCGCCTCGAAATCCTGGTCAGAACGCACCCCGGGAGAGGTCCGGGGAGTCGCGGTATCGGTACCGTTTGGTTTCCTTCCTCTTGGTTTCCCCCCCTCTGGCCCGCCCCCCCCCCCCAAGACTCCAGCGCCTTGAACAGATAGCAGGATCGCAGGGGATCACGACCATGATGTCTTCCAAGATCTCATGGATTTCCTATATTGCTTTCCGCTCTGCACGGGCTGCAGAGAAACGAGGGCCGCCAGATGCTGCGGAATCTGTAGCAACCCGCAGTTGCGGATAAGAGTGAGGGGGCGGCGGGGTCGTCGGCAGTCTGCGAGGCTCTGAGGAAGCCCTCCGCAGGCCCCGATTTTTGAACAAATTGAGGAACGAGCCCGCCGCAGGCCCCGAATGTTTCGTCAAAGCAAGTGGGTGGGTCGCGGCTGGGTCGCGGCTGGGTCGCGGGTGTGTCGCGGGTGGACCGTGGGGTGGTGGGTCGCGGGTGGGTCGCGGGCCGCTACTTCCGTAGCCATTTTGGCTCAAGTTGGAAACCGTGCCCTGGGACTTCCAGCTTGGACAGGGCCGACGGGGTGGGCTCGAGTCCTTCTGTTTCACGATCCTGCCCGCTCCCGAGAGTCGCCAAAGGCACACCCGCTGGCAGTTCTTTCTGGCAACGGTAATTAATGTGTTTTTTGTCTCACCCGCTCATCTTTCCACGGACGACACGACTGCGCGCCCCTGCCAGTTGGAACCACAAAACACGAAGCTGAACACGCTGGTTGAAACGATGGAAGCAAAGCTCGAGTCGAAATGCAAAGAGTGGATGTCAATGGAAGATACCACCCGGACCAGACAATTGGCGTTTACTAAACGGCCTTGGGCGTTTACTAAACAGCCCTGCCCTGTTTGATTCCTTCTTTGGGCGCGTTTAATAGACGGCTTCGCGTGTCGGGGTGGTTACTATCGGGATGGATTTCTTTTGCCCTCTAGTATGGAGGATGTCTTTGCCCTGGGGAAGGCACTTCCAGATTATATCAGTATTGGGACGGGCCGTGCTTCGAGCCGTGGTCCTCCATCACAGGTGGCCACCTACAATGCTTGTTCAGATATGGGTCAGCCTGGTCCCACCGACACAGCCATACCGTGCCGTCGCTGGATGAAATCATGCCCGGGGAAGGTGCTGGCTGTCACACGCCGTGCCACGTGAGATCCGATTGTTGTCCACTTGCCCAGTACCCTGCCAAGCACGTCTGCCCCGCCTCACCTTCATCGCTCGTCGCAGAATTTGTCGATAATATGGGAGACTTACCGCATGAGGCTCGCACGCGTCAGCAACACCTGGGGCAGGCCTGGGGACCGCTCGTGGATTTGCTGGAGGACAGTGAATCCTGGCAACCTGTTTATCGGTTCGGATGCCGAGGCTTTTCGAATTCGACCACCGTAACAACAGCCAAGGACGTGTATTACATCATTGGTACGGGCGGAGCTGTTCGGGCAGAAGTTGTTCAGTCGGATTGCTCTGAACGGAGAATCACAGGCATGCAGATGAATGCCGTCGTCGAGCTGCAGGAAGCGAAGCGGCATGCCGCCTCAGGGGTTGAAGGCATGAGAGGTGCTTTGCCCCTCCACCCTTCGCCTCCTTCGCCCCTGCCCCCTTGTGTTCGTTTTGTCACTCATCATCGCCTCTCTGCGTGCCCCTGGAATGCTGCCGCGCGTTGGGGGCAGTGGGTGGGGACCACTCGTTGCGCGCTAAAACTTGTTTGCTTGGCTGAGGCGTATGATTGCCCCGGAATTCACGAGGCGCACGGGCAACCAGGGGACTTATACACTCTCTCTCGTCTCCTCCCCTCTCCTCGTTGTTCGCGCCCGTTCCATGATGACGGAATCAGTGGCGGTGTCTTGGTCTGTATCCATGAGCGGCTTCATTCGTGTTTCGATGAGCTGCACATGCTGACCATTATGATTGGAAGGTGCTGTGTTATCACAATGAATGGTACGAAAGGTTATCTGACTCTATGCTACGCTCATCTAGATGTTTGTCTCAGCGCCGTGACCAAGAGATGTTCGCACGTTTCGCCCACTCTCTAGACGTTCTCCGCGTTGCGACCATCCTCGGTGGTATGTGAATTTGTGCGCCCCTGGGGGAGCTCGTCAACATGTGGGCCCAAAGTTGGATCGGACCCCAAGTTGGTCTCTGGCGTCTGAAGTCGCTTGGTTTTTTTTTCGAGATAGACTGAACCTTCTCAAAACATATCATACCCACTGCACTACTCGAGATGGTCCCCTGACAAGTGCGGCGCCGGACAGACTGTACACCAGGTTATACCATCTGCGATGCTTGACTCAGCGCTTGCTGCTGGTGTTGAATGTCAACCCGCTGGGCTTCGCGATGTACGCGATCATATACCTACTTTTGCTTGTCTTTCAGTCTTTCCTCGCGATGCGACACTTGGCATTCCAAGGTGGGTATGCCGTTTGTCTGACTTCGGAGTTCTGGTGGAGGAGATGGCGGAGGAGTAAGGTATTCCGGAGGGTTTTGGGAAGGCTGTCGAGGGATTGAAATCTATCATGCATTTTGCTGCGCGGAAAATACCAACCCGACCTGGAGCACGGTGGCGGATTGGTATTCGATAGGGCCCCCCTGGGGCTGCCTTGGGGCTCTTTGGAACGTTTCAGAAGCTACCTCCTTGAGGCAGACACGCGTATGAAGCAAAACGTACATTCCGAAACGCAGAGGGATCGGACATCCATTTCTTAGGCCGTCGGGGCAGAACGATTCCGTCTCCACCCGTGTAAGTAATTGTTGGTTGCCGTTGAAAATAATGTGGTCGGCTTTCCGGCGAGAGCCACATCTTGCAAACGACCTTCCCTCTATCCCTGCAGCTGTTCGAACTCCCAAGCGGAAGCCTTCGCGCGCCATGCGGACGCGTCTGGCGGTCAGGCGATGAACAGTTATTTGTAATACTTAAGGATGAAGGGCTGACAGGGAGGAGGAGAGGGAGGGGGAGGGGAGGAGGAGGAGGAGGAGGAGGAGGAGGAGGAGGAGGAGGGGGTGAGGAGGAGTAGGAGGAGGAATAGTAGGAGGAGAAGCAGGAGGAGGAGCAGGAGGAGGAGGAGCAGGAGGAGGAAGAGGAGCAGGAGGAGGAAGAGGAAGAGGAGGAGTCGAAGGAGGAGGTCGCCTCGTGCTGCCTCTTCCCCTGTCCTGCGTCGTCGCTTTCGCGCGTGGGCGCGGTGAGCGCGAGCGCGCCCGCCGTTGCCGCTGCCGCGTCGGTTCGCGTTTGGCAGCCCCGGCCAACACAACAAGAAAAATAGGGACGTGAAGGACGAGGAGGAGGAGGCGGAGGAGGAGGAGGAGGAGGTGGAGGTGGAGGAGGAGGAGGAACGACGCAAAGACTGCTTCGAGGACCAGGCGACGGCCGAGCAGGGCGAGCAGCTTCGGCGGCAGATGGCGGAGCTCCGTGCAGAGCTGCGCAGCAAGCTGCGGCTGGGCCTGGGCGGCGCGCTCGGTTCGGCTGCGCCGCGCTCCGCGCGCGCGCCGCCCTGCCCTCGGAGGATGGACACGTGCCGAGGCTCGCTCCCCGAGAGGCTCCCCGTCGCCCCGGCAGGATCCGCACCGCAACACGGGGCAGGTGGGACCTCAGGAGGATCCAAGGAGCGATTATGAGCGGACTCGGGATGGGCGGGGGGGCCGCTGGCAAGACCTGTGGGGGTGCACATTGGAGTATTTTTTGAAACGGATGGTTGGCCCGGGTGATATGATGCCCCCCGCCGTCGTGTAAAACAACAAAGCGCAGTGATGGCGGGACGCCGTAACATGATCCAGATGATGTCGCAGAGTGTGTTGTTCAATCCGTGGGATATTGACGAGGTTGGCTTCTAGAAGCCTTCTTAGGAAGCTGTGTGGGGGGCTCCCGTCACGTCACGTGCTTTCGGGGCTGCTGGGGCCGTCTTGGGGCCGTCGTAGGCGTCTTGGAGCGGGATGTGGGGCGTGTCGGGGCCCTCTTGGACAGTGTACTCGTGAAGGAGTCCCGCGGGGCCGGCAATCGCGGAACCACCCGCACCGTCAGTTGTGACATCTGCGGCTGACGGTAACAGTGTTCTCTGTGCGCGCATCGGGGAACAGGCGAGAACCCATTATAGACGGCGGGCATTTGTCAAAAGACGTTTTGGAGCAGTCGTGGGCGTTTTGGAGCGAAATCTGGGGCGTGTCGGGGCCCCCTTGCGGTGGAAACGTGTACGCAGAGAGGCGGAAAGAGTTGGCGAGGGATGTCCACGATGCTGTCGAGGGGGACCTTTCGGGGGTCAGGAGGCGGTACTTCGGAGTCGTAGGGAGGTTGTATGAAGTTGCTTCGGGACCTTAACCCCAGTGTTCGCCGTGCGCGCATGGGGAAACGGGCGAGAACCCACGTTTACAGACGGCGGGCATCCGTCAAACTATGTTTTGTAACCGTCGCGGGCGTCTTGGAGCGCAACGTGGGGCGTGCAGGGGCCCTTTTGGACGGCGTACCGCGTGCTCGCGATGGAATGCTCCAAAGCCCAAGGAAATCGCGGAACCACCCGCACCGTTAATTGTGACATTTGCGGCTGACGGTAACAGTGTTCTTTGTGCGCGCATCGGGGAACAGGCGAGAACCCTGTTTTACACACGGCGGGCACATGTCGAGATACCCGACGGGATGATTATATAATGGTCTTCGGGACATCCCGCCACAGTGCATGGGCTGCGGGTGTGGGCTCTCGTGGCAGGCGTCCCAGGTGCGTTTGGTACCTGTTTTTTTTTGTTGGCGTTGTGGAGTTCCCTGCGGGCCTGTAAAGAGGTTCCTAGGGCAACCAGGCAGGGTTTTGGGTTCGACGGCCTGAAATGTCCGTTCGGGTTTCCCCCTCGGGCACCCCTTTTCGGGGCTGCTTATGGGCCCGTCTCAGCCGTTTTTTGTTTTTTTCCCGGAAAGGGCTTAAGCCTAGGGTTCTCTTTTAGTATGTAAACATGTCCCCCGGTGCCTGCTTGAAGGAGGCCGGCGAATTTTTTCCCTGATAAATAACGAGGTCGAAGGAGGCCGGCGAATTAAAATTTGAGGATGTCTCGAGCGAAACGCTTGTTTTTGAAATCCCGATCGATAAATCACAGGGTGCGGGCCACTTTTTCGTGTGTTGAGGATGTCTCGAGCGAAACGCTTGCTCCGCAGAGTTTGCCGAGGATGTCTCGAGCGAAACGCTTGTTTTGCAGAGCCGACCGCGACGCGGAAAAGCGCCCCGCGCGAAGGAATTTCGATGATGTCTCGACTAATTCCTTTGTTTTTGTACGATTTCCTGGAATTTTGGCAGGATGTCTCGAGCGAAATGCACGACCCCACCCTAGCACGACCATACCCCAGCACGACCACACCCCAGCACGACCAGACCCCAGCACGACCCCACCCCAGCACGACCCCACCCCAGCACGACCATACCCCAGCACGACCACACCCCAGCACGACCCGACCCCAGCACGACCCTACCCCAGCAAGACCACACCCCAGCACGACCACACCCCAGCACGACCTCCCCCCAGCACAGACCACCCCAGCACGCACGCCCCAGCACGACCACCCCCAGCACGACACACCCCCCAGCACGCACAGCACGCCCCAGCACGCACAGCACCCCACCCCAGCACGACCACACCCCAGCACGACCACACCCCAGCACGACCCACCCCAGCACGACCCACCCCAGCAAGACCACACCCCAGCACGACCACACCCCAGCACGACCACACCCCAGCACGACCCCAGCACACGCCCCAGCACGACCACGCCCCAGCACGACCACGCCCCAGCACGACCACGCCCCAGCACGACCACCCCCCCAGCACGACCACCCCCCAGCACGACCACCCCCCAGCACGACCACACCCCAGCACGACCACTCCCCAGCACGACCACACCGCCTTGGTTGAGTGGTTGCCTGTCGTCGTGGAATGTTTCGTGGGGTGTCTCGTGGAATGTTTCGCGGGGTGTCTCCTGGAATGTTTCGTGAGGTGTCTCGCGGAATGTTTCGTGAGGTGTCTCGTGGGATGTTTCGTGAGGTGTCTCGTGGGATGTTTCGTGAGGTGTTGCCCCGTTGGGTATCGTGAAAACGTGCCCATGCTCCACATGTCTATATCCCCAGCACGACCACACCCCAGCACGACCACACCCCAGCACGACCGCACCCAGTCGCACCCCCGTGGAATGTGGGGTGGCGTGTCTGGTTGAGTGGTTGCCTGTTCGTGGGGTGTCTCGTGGAATGTTTCACGGGGTGTCTCGTGGAATGTTTCGTGAGGTGTCTCGTGGAATGTTTCGTGAGGTGTCTCGTGGGATGTTTCGCGGGATGTCTCGTGGGATGTTTCGTGAGATGTCGCCCAGTTGGGTATCGTGAAAACGTGACCATGCTGCACATGTCTTTATCCCTTTCCGGGTTCGTGGGTCCATCATGTTTTGTTTTGAGCGGTCTTGGGGCATTGTTGGGTCGTTTGGGGGCCCTCTTGGGGACTTTCTTGGGGTGATCTAGGAGGCTTTCCGGGCCGTCTCTGACGTTGTCAACGCACACGAGGCACATTTGCAAACAATGTCCGCCCTCCAAGAGGGATGGGGCGACCTTTTCTCTTTGTGGCCGTTTCGGGACGCTTGTTGGAGGCGTTTGGGGGCATCTTGTATCCTTTTGGGCCGTTTGGGGCCCAGCGTGAACGTTTTGGATGGGTCTTTTGGCGGTTCCTGGCTTTCTTGGACCGTCCGGAGGGCCTGTTGGGGCCCTCATTGGCCTGTTTTGGGGCCCTCTTGAGCCGGGAGTCTAGAGACGCCCCGAGAGTGGCACAAGCCGGGGATAAACACTCACACGAGCCGGCTTCCGAATGGCAGCTCGAAGTTTTTGATGTGCAGATCGTCGCGTTGCATTTTTATTCATGTTCCATTTATCCTTGCAGTAGTTTAAGTTGACTTGCAATGCTTTGCGTGGCCATTGCGTGACATGTGCACAACAGTGCCTTATGGATTCACATTGAATGCGCATGTGTGTATCATTGTCGGAATTACGTGTCTGTTCGGTTCGCGCGATTGTTGTTTCTTCCCTTTATGTGCGTGCCATGTGTGTTTACGTGCACGCGTACATATGTACATATGTGAGGTTGTCAGGGGCTGAGGGGTGCTAAAATCTAAGCACGCGTGAAGCGCGTGTGGTTGTAGTAGATGTATACCGGTATGCGACTTCAATGTATGTGGAGGGGTTTGATAATTATCTCTTAATTGATGTATGTGTATATGTACGTGGCAATCCATATGTATATGCATATTTGTACACCTGCATATGTATTGGTAACATATCATGTTCGAGTACAAGTATGTGTACAACGGTCTGTCCATTTGTTCATGTATTACCATGAACAAGCGGTCATGCATGTGTACATGTACATGGTTGTGAAACGTATAGTTATATGTGTATGTAACCATGTATGCTAACAAATATACACATAAACGCATTTATACATATTGCAGGTGTATGCATATGTGCATGTATAACGATGTATTCATGTATACGTGTATGGATCTGTTTATGCATACTCGTATGCATGTTAATGTATATGTATACGTAATTGTAGTTATATATGTCGTGTACCTGGTGTTTGTTGGCCGGTTGTTATTTCTGAATGATGCGTTTGTTGGGACACATATCATCATACGGAGGGGCAACAACATGTAAAAGGATGAGAGGGATGAGGCGGAATGGAAGGAGCATCTACGAGGAAAAAGGGGGATTTAGAATCACGAGGGTGAGGAACAGGCACTATGGAGGGAATTGACGATGAAATGGGATCGGGTGGATAAGCAGGGTCTGCGAGCAAGCAGGGATCGGAACAAGTGCAGGAGAAGAGGCGAGGCAGGGCGACACCGCCCACTTCCTGGTGATCTCGCTGATCCACGCGCGGGAGTACGCCTCGCTGATTGGTCAGCGTCTTGGGGCGAGTTGTGGGGAACGTCGTGGCCCTCTTGGACAGACTACCGCGCGCGCAAAAGGTTCCCCTGAGGCCCCTGGCAATCGCGGCGCCGCACGCGCCGCCAATTGTGATTTCTGCGGCTGACATTTGCAGCGTTCCCCGTGCATGCCTTGGGAAACCGGTGCGAAACCACCTGTACAGACGGCGGGCATTTGTCAAACACGTTGTGGGGACTTCGTGGGCGACTTCGGGCGAGATGTGGGGCGCGTCGGGATCCTCTTGGGTCGTCTGCCGCGCGCGCTTGAAAGATTCCCGGGCCCCCCCAGCAATCGCGGCGCCGTCCGTGCCGCCGATAGTGGCTCCCGCTGTTGACATTTTCAGCGTTCTCCGTGGGCGCATGGGGGGAGGGGCGATCATCCACCTGGACAGGCAGCGAGCATAAGTCAAAACACGTTTTGGGACTGTTGTGGGCGTTTTGGAGCGAAACGTGTGGCGTGTCAGGGCCCTGTTGAACAGTCTACCGCGCGCGCTCGCAAGATGCCCCTGGGGCCCTGCAAGAGCGGCGGCCGCGCCGTCAGCGGTGATTCCCGCGGCTGACATTTGTAAGCGTTCGCCGTACCAGCATAGTGAAACTGTCGAGAACCTGCGTTTATCATCGGCGGGCATTTGTCAACATACAAGAAAAATGCTTATCGAATGGCCCTTGGCGCATCCCGCCGTTTCGCCTGGACTGCAGGTCTTAGGCCAGTCGGATGGCAGGTGGGGTATCGTGGGGGGGCGTCCGGGGGCGTTCGGGGGGCAGCCTTTGAATCTTGTGGGGGCATCCAGGGGAGTTTTTTTTGGGGGGGGTGGCTTCCTGGAGGCGTTTTGGGGTAACCAGGAGGCGCTTTGGGGTCGAAACTTCGAAATATCGGTTCGGGCTCCATCTTTGGGCCCCTTTTTGGGGTTGTCCTGGGGCCCCCCTGGGCCATATTAGGGGTTAGTTGGGCCGTCTTGGGGCCCTCTCGGGTCGTTGGGGGGCCTTTTCTGGGGCGTCTTGCGCCGCTTCGGGGCCATTTAGAAGACTGTTTGAGCCGTGTTACACGCTGGGGGGAACATTTCACACGCCGATGAACCCGAAGGGGTCGGCGAATTCTGTTGGGTGCTACGGATAGCGGGGGGGATCGTTCATTGAGTCTCCCAATCGGCCTGTTGCCAGCAGGGTCTTTGGCACGCCCGAGCAGGCGCACACGGGCGCCAAGCTAAACATCGAATTGGTCATCGTCCACTGTGTGGACTCCCCGACGCGTTAATGGTTATTGTAGTGGCCTCCGGCCAGTGCCGCCGATCCGGGGCGCTCTGGGTGCCTGTGGAAATGAACGACGACGAGGAAGACGAAAACGACGACGAACACGAATACGTCGACGACAACGACGACGAGAGCGACGACGACAACGACCACGACGACGACGACGACGACGGCGATGACGACGACGACGCGAGCGACGACGACGACGACGACGACGATGACGCGACGCGACGACGACGACGACGACGACGACGACGACGACGACGACGACGACGACGACGACGACGACGACGACGACGACGACGACGACGGGGGGGGAGCTGGGTTGCAGGGGGGGGGTGCTCTGCAGGGGGGGTCCGCTCGGCAGAGGGACTGCAGGGGAGAGGGGGGGGCTCTGCAGGGGGGGGGGGTGCAGGGGGGGGTCTGCTCTGCGGGGGGGGCGGGGGGGGGGGCTCTGGGGGGGGGCTCTGCGCTCTTCAGGGGGGGGGGCTGGGCTGCAGAGGGGGGGGGGGTCCGCTCTGCAGGGGGGGGGGGTCGCTCTGCAGGGGGAGGGGGTGCAGGGGGGGGGTCTGCTCTGCAGGGGGGGGTGCAGGGGAGGGGGGGGGGGATCCGCTCTGCAGGGGGGGGGGGCTGCAGGGGGGAGGTTCGTTCGGCAGGGGGGGTCTGCTCAGCTCTGCAGGGGAGGGGTGCAGGGGAGGGGGGGGGGTCCGCTTTGAGGGGGGGGGGAGGGCTGCAGGGGGTCCGCTCTGCAGGAGGGGCTGCAGGAGGGGGGGGGGAGGGCCCTCTGCAGGGGGGGGGGTCCGCTCTGGAGGGGGGGGGGGGGGCGAAGCACTGAATTAGGTCGGAAATAGGTCGGAAATGAAGTCCCCCCCCTCGGCAGAGCGAAGCTTGAGCGAGCTCAAGCCCACGCTATCAGAAACTCACACGCCGGATCGGCGGATTATGTTTCTTTTTTTCTCCCGTTTTTCCGTTTCGTTTTCATCCTCTCTGCCCTCGTCGTCGTCGTGTTCGTCTTCCCTGCGTCCGTCAGCCTGCAGACTTCCGGCGCGGTGCCGCGCTGGCCGGCCCAGGCGGCACCCTGAAGGCAGCCATGGACGAGCTGCGGTCGGGCCTCGAGGAGCCCAGTGGGAATTCAGGAGGCGGGGGGGGGATGGGGGAGGAGGCGCAAGGGGCACCGTCGGTCGGGGCTTGGCTTAGGGAGGGATGGGGACTATCAGTCCCCCCATCGTCCACGGATCGCGGAAATGGGGCCTGGTAGCCCACCCCGTCCAGGACCGCTCGGTTTCGTGATCGAGAGCCTCTCGCCGACTCGACGGCAATGCATCGCCGATTTCGGGTCTCGCCGCCCTTTGGGGGAGGAGGGGCGGAGGGGGGACGCAGGGGAGAGGCCGCTTCACAGGAGGAGGAGGACGAGGAGGAGGGAGGAGGAGAAGGAGGAGGATGAAGAAGACAATATCATATCAGAACTGATCAGATCAGATCAGACACGAACCGGGGCATCAATTTGCTTCAGGAACACGAAAATGCCCCATGACCAGCTCCGCAGCCGCGAAAGTCGGACCACCGTCAGCCCTGCGTTTCCTACGTTTCAGAAACATCATAACTCACTCGCGACACCCAACCAATCGGGCAGCAGTTCCCGAGAGACCCTCCCCGAACCCGGAGTCTGGGATGCTCCGAACCACAGGCGTCAGAGCTCGCTTTGCAGGACGCGCTAGCCGCGGAGGAGGAGGAGGAGGAGGAGGAGGAGGAGGAGGAGGAGGAGGAGGTGGAGGAGGAGGGAGGAGGAGGAGGAGGAGGAGAGGGCTCCGGGGGGGACGAAAGGGGAGAGAACCGGCCGGGGCGGCGGCGGCACCGCGGGAGGAAGGAGAGGAGGAGCAGGAGGAGGTGGAGGAGGAGGAGGAGGTGGAGGAGGAGGAGCCGCAGGAGAGGGGTGGAGGGATGGTCGGGCGGAGGGGCGGGCGCTGAGCACAGGGAGGCGCGGAGGCGCTGGAGGGGAGCCGCCCTGCCGCCCAGTCGCCGCCTCCGCCCGCCTGGGAGCTGCGGCCACAGACTGCTCCTCGCGAGGTCCCCGGATCGGCGATTCTAAATCTGAGGGGGGAGAAGCGATGCCAACACCACCAGGGGGGCCACCCCCCGCGAGGCGGTCCACGATGCCTCCCCGAGCTGGAGGCTGGGGACGTCTCGAGCGAGAGGGGGGGCCACACCACCAGGGAGACCTCCCTTTCTCCTCGCATCTCCTCGCCCTGGTGGTGTTGGTGTCGCATGGGGCCTCGAGGGAGGGGTCCCGAAAGATAGGGAGGGGCCCCAGGGTGAATTTACACACCGTCCGATGCCACGTGCGTCGGGCTCCTGCCCCTGACTTTCCCGTCGCGGCGCGGCAGAGGCAGTCCGTTTGCGCGAGTAGCATTTGTGCGGTGCGGAGTTGCGAATTGGCCTGCATGCGATAGGGGAAAAAAGGAGGAGAGAGGGCAGTCAAACGTAAAAATAGGGGGAACACATCGGGTAAACAATATTGGAAAAAAGAAAGGGAGGGGGAGGGACGCGGGGGCACTCAAACCCAGTCCCTGACGCACCGTCGTCCTCGCCTTCTCAGTCGTCGCCGCCGCCGCGGTCCTTGTCGCCGTCGTCGCCGCCGTCGCCGTCACCGTCGCCGTCCTGACCGAATTCGCGAGACATCTGTTCCCAGACGCCTCGCAGGCCCTCTGGGGGGCGCTGCAGGGCTGTCATGGAAGTCCCTTGCGTTGTGTTTGGGCCCCCTTGGGGCCGAGTTTCGGTGTCTGGGGCTCTCTTGGGCCGTCTTGGAGCCCTGTTGGGGGCCTCTGGCGCCGTCTTGGGGTTCTCTTGGAGGCCTCTTGGGCCGTCTTTGGTCGTCAGAAGCCTGACAAGGTGATAACGCCAAAATCATTCACACACATTGGAATAATAGATGATGTTGGCTTGTTGGGGCCGTCTCTGGAGCACCTTGTGGAGCTCTCGTGGGCCGTCTGGAAGGCCTCTTGGGCCATCTGGAGGTCATCTTGAGCCGTCCTGGGGCCATCTTGGCCGCCTTCAGACCAGTTTGAGCCGTCTTGGAGCCATCTTGGGCTGTCTTGCAGCCATCTGGCGACATCTTGGGTCCGCCTGTGGCGTTTCTTCTTGAGGCCCGGAGAGGCCCTCAAGAGCTGTCAGGAGCTGCCTGTAGCCGTGGGGGTAGCTGGGCCGATACGGATACGTACACGATCCCACCTCCTGTCGTCGGAGAGTCCATGGGGGAGGTGAGAGGGGGCAGGCCTCCTCAGAAGGCGGCAGGCCTTCTCAGAAGCCCTCGCGCCTTCTGAGGAACCATCTGTGGATCCCGGGAGGTCTTACGCATCTTTTCAGAGGGCGCGATGGCCTCCGATGAGCCCCGCCGTCGCCTCAGAAGGCCTGCCCCCTCGCAGTTCCCCCCTGGGCTCGCCGCCGATCCTGACCCATGTGTTGCGAAGGCCTGACGGCCGGTGCCGCCGACCCTGAAGAGGACCACGACGTCAGCGACGAAGCGGGCGCGGACGGAGGCCGTGGCAGATGAGGAGGAGGAGGAGGCGAGGAGGAGGAGGGAGGAGGAGGAGGAGGAGGAGGAGGAGGAGGAGGAGGAGGAAGGAGGAGGAGGAGGGGAGGGGGAGGAGGGAGGAGGAGGAGGAGGAGGAGGAGGAGGAGGAGGAGGGAGGAGGAGGAGGAGCTGGGCTCGCCGCCGATCCTGACCAATGCATACCTTCCTTTCGCCTGCTCTTCTTCCTCATGCCCTGCGAGCTGTCTCCACGGCGCAAGGCTGCCCTTCGCTCGCAGGCCCACGCGCGGGGGGCCTGCCGTGTGGAGCCCGCAGGGCGGGAGCCACGGTGGGCATCCTTCTCGGGAAGCTGGTGTTCAAGTATTGCATCTCGTCTTGTCGCAGGGCTGTCAGAGGGGTAGAAGAGGGTGTAGAGGTGGAGGAGGAGGAAGAGGAGGAGGAGAAGGAGGAGGAGGAGGAGGAGGGGAAGGATCAGATGTTGGCACAAAGAAGGTGGGTCAGCCGTCAAACCGAAGCTCGGTCGACCTGCGAGCCTCTCGCAGGCATCGAGGTGCTTTCTTGGAGCGCTTGAGGAAGCATTTTGGGCTCTCTTGGGGCTCTATGGGGGCCCTCCTGTGTGCCTCAGGCTCCTCATCATGGGGCGATCCATGAGACAATCGATCAAACAAGGGTGGTTCCCAATGAATGCGAACCCGTGGGATTTAGGCAACTCACATCTTGGGGCCCTTTTGGGGCGCTCTTGGGACCTATTGTTGTTGGGGCTCTTCGGGGACTCTCTGTAGCGATCTTGGATCCATCTTGAGGCCTCAGAGCTCCATCAGACGCGATAAGGTAGGAATATCAATATCATTGGACGATCGATCGGATGCATTATTCAAAAGACTCCGTTTCCACCTTGGACCGTCTTGTGGCGTTCTGTGGCCTTCTTCTCTTTGGAGGCATGCTGGATGCCACCTCGAACCTTCTGGGCCATCCTGCGTCATCCTGGAGGATTGGGTTATCTGGCGCCACCTTGGCATCCTGGAGTCATCCCGGGCCCACACGGACCCTCTGGCACTCCGGGGAGGGGGGGGTAATTAGGGGGAGGGGACGCCAGGTCACCCGCGGGGGCGTGAGCATCACCGGCTTCGCGCGCCGTGAGCTGGGCCGCAGCGGCTTCACGTCTCGAAGGGGGTGGCGTTAAGGGCGCGCTGGCGCGGAGGCAATCCCGCGTCGCCCGTCGCTTGGCGCGCGATGCTGGAAGTTGGGCGACCTGGAGAAGAAAGAGGGGGGGGGCACAGGAGAGCCCGATGCCCTGGGCCACCCCCGACCTCAGCTCTCTGCCCGGCCACATGCAATGCGCCCTCTCCGCCCTCCCCCCCGCCGCCCGCACAGAGGACCTGTCGCGGCGCGTCGACGGCCTGTCGGCAGTCGCGCAGGCCCCTCCCGCGGCGCCTTCCTCTTCCCTGCGCCCTGCGGCCAGGGGGGCCCAGCGGGCCCACGGTCCTGGCACGGCAGGGGGAGGGACCAGAGCGGAGGTGAGGTGAGCCGTTCAACAACAAAACACACACACACATATATATATATATATATAGATGTGTACATGTGTATGTATGCATGTATGTGTATGTGTATGTGTATGTGTGTATGTATGTATGTATGCATGCATGCATGCATGTTTGTATGCATGTGTATATGTATGCATGCATGCATGCATGCAGGTTTGTATGCATGTATGTATGTATGTATGCATGCATGCATGCATGCATGCATGCATGTATGTATGTATGTATGTATGTATGCCTGTGTATATGTATGTATGTATGCATGCATGCATGCATGTTTGTATGCATGTATGTAGTTATGTATGCATGCATGCATGCATGCATGCATGCATGCATGTATGTATGTATGTATGTATGTATGCATGCATGCATGCATGCATGCATGCATGCATGCATGTATGTATGTATGGATGTATGTGCACACACACACACACATATATATATATATATATATATATATAATCAGCGTCCGGGTCCCAGGGCCCTGGGGCCCCCACTTTTTCAAAACTCCCCCCCCTCCCCCCCGCATTCCACTGTAGTCCCTGGCGCCGGCGGGTCTTTTGGACGCTCCAGGGCGTTCCCTGCGCCTCGAGGGTCCTCCTCGGCGCCCGCAGCGGACGCCCAGAGGCCGCCAGGACGGCCCAAGAGCGCACCAAACCGCCCAAGATGGCCCCATGATGGCCCAAGAGGCCCCCAAGAGGCCCCAAGAGCGCTCCGAGAGGACCTCCAGGAAGGCCGCAAGAGGCCAAAATGAAGTCATTGATATTCAGTTTGTTTCATTGATATCCAAGACTGCCCAAGAAGCCTCCAACCTCGCCCCAAGGTGGCCCAAGGGGCCCCCGAGATGGCCCAAGAGGTGCAACTTGGCATGGCAACTTGGCACGTTCCTTGGCACGTTCCGTGGCGCGTCCCTTGGCGAGTCCCCCTGGCACGTCGCGTGGCGCGTCCCCTGGCACATCCCGTGGCACATCCATTGGCACGTTCCGTAGCGCGTCCCCTTGGCACGTCCCGCGGTGCGACCCCATGGCATGTCCCCTGGCACGTCGCCTGGCGCATCCCTGGGGACGTTTCGCGGCGCGTCCTCCTGACATGCTCCCCTGTCCATCAGCTCTGGGGCAGCTACTATGTGTTCAGGCAGCTCGAGCTTGAGATCCAAATCAGTTCGGTCAGGACTCGGATGCAAAGGGGGACTCGACCCATGACGCTATAGAGCACATTCGCGGCATGGCACATCGCAATTCAGCACGGTGCAGCACAGCACAGCCCTCGGCAGGGTACATCAAGCTCGATACACTCAGCATTGCATTTGCCCGTCACCCAATCAGGTGTCTTTGAAAACGCTGCCATGCGTTACATTTCTATATTCCTTTCCGGGTTCGTGGGCCGATCATGTTTGTCATTTGGTTGTTTGCCGACGGATGTGCACAGGCATGGATCCGCAAACAGCATTGCGCTGGCGAGCATTGTTCTGCTTTGCATTTCGTTGTATTGCATCGCGTTGCCTTGCCTTTCATTTGCGTTGCTTCTCGCTGCATGGCGCTCGCAGCTGGTTTCCATGGCACTGCATTGCATTGCAGTGCCAGTGCGGGCACTCCATTCTGAACATTGTTTTCACTGCTTGGCATTGGTCCGCATTGCCCTGTATGGATGTGCCATTGTATGTGATCGATCTTTGTTCGGCCCTCGTCTCTTGACGCCTCAGTGTGCCTCATATTCATGCAATTTGCGGGTAACTATTTCAGAGGATCAGTGAATTTGTCACGGCTTGGGGCTTGCTAGAACCTAAGTGCGCGCGAAGCGCGTGCGTGGTTCTAGTGACCATCAATTTTCGATTGTCAGAGGGGACTTCGTGGATCTGCGCTGGACCTCCCTGGCTAAGAGGAGGAAAACGTACCCACACCGCTACCCTTGCCTCGTTTTCCCTTTTTTCCCGGAAAGGGCGCGGGCCCAGAGTCTTCTTTTAGTTTGTAAATTGTCCCTGGTGCCATGACTGAGGTGGGCCGGCGGATTCTTCTCCTGATTATTATCGAGGTCGAGGTGGGCCGGCGTATAAAAAATTGAGGATGTCTTGAGCGAACCGCTTGTTTTTCAGAATTTGTTGAGGATGTCTCCAGCGAGACGCTGGTTTTGCAGAGTTGGGGGATGTCTCGAGCGGGGGCCTCGTGGGGGGCCGGAATTCAGAGGATGTCTCAGGCGAAATGCTTGTTTTCACGTGCCCAGGTCGGCCTGGGGGGTATCCAACATGGTTGTCCCTCGCTGGCGCCTCAGACGACTGCATGTTGGACATCCCCCCAGTGTGGGCTGGAACCGTGAGTTTTTACGTGTGCAGGCCATCAGGGGGGTATCTAACATTGTGGTCCCGAGCTGGAATCATGTTTTTTCACGTGTCCAGCCCACCCAGGGGTGTATCTAACATGGTGGTCCCGAGCTTGAGTCACGTGTTTTAACATGTTTAGGCCACCCAGGAGGGGTATCTAACATGGTGGTCCTGCGCTGGAAACGTGTGTTTTCAATTGTCCAGGCCACCCAGAGGGGGGATTTAACATGGTTGCCCAGAGGTGGCACCATGTGTTTTTCCCGGAAAGGGCCTGGGCCCAGGGTTCTCTTTTAGATTGTTTACCCCCGGTTTTTACTTGAAGGGGGCCGGCTAATTTCTTGCGCGATAAATTACGAGGTCGAAGGGGGCCGGCAAATTAAAATTGTGAGGACGAAGGCCATTTTTCGCCACCCCTCACGCAGATCGTGCTCTTGGAATTTTACTGCCTTTAAGGGAACCTCGATATTTCACAGGTGAAGTCCACTTTTTTCCGACATCGATTTTAAACTATAAAAAACAAGGTAAATGCGTTCGCTCGATAAATAACGAGGTACCGCGGCCTCCCGAACGGCGCTGGGAACGGAGTTTTGGATTCTTGAAGTTGCATAAGTTCGGAAATAACAGAAATCCCCTATGTTTTTGGACCCTGACCCCGCGGATCTGCGTGAGGGGTGGCACCGAATTTCAGAAATGTGGCAAATCCCATGTGTTTTTGGACCCTGACCCCGCGGATCTGCGTGAGGGGTGGCACCGAATTTCAGAAATGTGGCAAATCCCATGTGTTTTTGGATCCTGACCCCGCGGATCTGCGTGAGTGGTGGCACCGAATTTCAGACATGTGGCAAATCCCATGTGTTTTTGGACCCTGACCCCGCGGATCTGCGTGAGTGGTGGCACCGAATTACAGAAATGTGGCAAGTCACCTGTGTTTTTGGACCCTGACCCCGCGGATCTGCGTGAGGGGTGGCACCGAATTTCAGAAATGTGGCAAATCCCATGTGTTTTTGGACCCTGTGGCAAATCCCTTGTGTTTTCGGATTTTGACTTCGCCCAGGAGGGCTCAGGAGGCTCCAGGAGAGCCCAGGAGAGCACAGGAGGGCCCAGGAGAGCCCAGGAGGGCCCAGGAGGACCCAGGATGCTCCAAGAGGCACCAGGGGGCCCAAGGAGGGCCCAGGAGAAGCTCCAGGAGGCTCCAGGAGAGCCCAGGAGGGCCCAAGAGGTCCAAGGAAGACCCAGAAGGGCCCAGGAGCCCTTACGAGGGATCGTGGCCCTGGGAGCGCTGACGTAGCGTAATTTACGAGGGATCGTGGCCCTGGGAGCGCGGGTGTAGTGTAATTGTTATAATTTGTTGAGGATGTCTCGAGCGAAACGCTAGTTTTGCAAAATTTGTGGATGTCTCGAGCGGGGGCTTCGTGGGGTGCCAGAATTCAGAAGATGTCTCAGGCGAAATGCTTGTTTTCGTGTCCCGCTCGTAGGAATTCCAAGGATGTCTCGCGCGTGCCGCGTCCCGCGCGCAGGAATTTTGAGGATGTCTTGACTAATTCGCTTGTTTTGTCAGGATGTCTTAGAATGTTGGCAGGATGTCTCGAGCGAAACACGTGTTTTCAAAATTTGATGAGGATGTCTCGAGCGAAACGCTGGTTTTGCTAAATTTGGAGATGTCTCGAGCGAAGGCCTGTGGGGGGCTAGAATTCAGAGGATGGCTCAGGCGAAATGCTTGTTTTCACGTCCCGCTCGCAGGAATTCCAAGGATGTCTCGCGCGTTCCGCGTCCCGCGCGCAGGAATTTCGAGGATGTCTCGACTAATTCGTTTGTTTTGCCAGGATTTTTTTAGAATTTTGGCAGGATGTCTCGAGCGAAACGCTTGTTGTTCATAATTTGTTGAGGACGTCTCGAGCGAAACGCTGGTTTTGCAAAATTGGGGGATGTCTCGAGCGGGGGCCTGTGGGGGGCTAGAAATCAGAGGATGGCTCAGGCGAAATGCTTGTTTTCACGTCCCGCTCGGAGGAATTCCGAGGATGTCTCGCGCGTGCCGCGTCCCGCGCGCAGGAATTCCGAGGATTTTGAAAGGATGTCTCGAGCGAAACGCTTGTCCCCAGCACGTTCCGTAGCGCGTCCCCTTGGCACGTCCCGCGGTGCGTCCCCATGACGCGTCCCTTGGCACGTCGCTTGGCGCGTCCCTTGAGACGTTCCGCGTCGCGTGCTCCTGGCATGTCCCCCTGCCAATTAGCTCTGGGGCAGCTACTATGTGTTCAGGCAGCTCGAGCTTCAGATCCAGATCAGTTCGGTCAGGACTCGGATGCAAAGGAGGACTCGATCCACGAGGCTATAGAGCACAATCGCGCCATAGCACATCGCAATCCAGCACGGCGCAGCACAGCACAGATTCCGGCACGGTACATCAAGATCGATACCTTCAGCATTGCAACTTGGCACGTTCCTTGGCAAGTTCCGTGGGGCGTCCCTTGGCGAGTCCCCCTGGCACGTCGCGTGGCGCGTCCCCTGGCACATCCCGTGGCACATCCATTGGCACGTTCCGTAGCGCGTCCCCTTGGCA